TTATTTATCATTTGTGCTCTCTCCCCCGCTTCCCTCCATTTGAGAGTAAATTACAAACATCACGGCTCTTTACCTGTAAATGTATCAGTGTGTGTTTCCTAAGAACAGAGGTATTCTCTTACATACCCACAATGATCACCGTTGTAAATGTCCAGGGTTATAACACTTTTATGTAATCTATCATCCATATTCCAACTTTGTCAATTGGCACAGGAAAGTCCTTTATAGCCTATTCCCCCATCCAATTCAGGATCCAGTCTCTAGTCAGATACTGCATTTTGTGTCCTGTCTCTTTTTTTTTTTTTTGAGACGGAGTTTCGCTCTTGTTACCGAGGCTGGAGTGCAATGGCACGATCTCGGCTCACTGCAACCTCCGCCTCCTGGGTTCAGGCAATTCTCCTGCCTCAGCCTCCCGAGTAGCTGGGATTACAGGCACATGCCACCATGCCCAGCTAATTTTTTATATTTTTTAGTAGAGACGGGGTTTCACCATGTTGACCAGGATGGTCTCGATCTCTTGACCTCGTGATCCACCCGCCTCAGCCTCCCAAAGTGCTGGGATTATAGGCTTGAGCCACCGCACCCGGCCTCCTGTCTCTTTACCCTCTTTTAATTTGATACTTTCCCACAGTCTTTCTTTTTTAAAATGAATCTTTTAAAAAAAATTTAGAGATAAGGTATTGCTCTGTTAGCTGGGCTGGAGTGCTGTGGTGTGATCACAGCACATTGCAGCCTCCAACTCCTGAGCTTAAGAGATCCTCCTGCCTCAGTCTCCAGAGTAACTGGGACCACAGGCATGTACCACCACACCCACCTAATTTCGAAAATTTTTCTTTTTTTTTCAAGACAGAGTCTTGCTCTGTCACCCAGGCTGGAGTGCAGTGGTGCTATATAGACTCACTGCAACCCACACCTCCTGGATTCAAGAGTCTCCTGCCTAAGCCTCCAAAGTAGCTGGGATTACAGGTGCCCACCACCATGCCCAGTTAATTTTTGTATTTTTAGTAGAGATAGGGTTTTGCCATGTTGCCCAGGCTGGTCTTAAACTCCTGGACTCCAGTAAGCCTCCAGCCTTAGCCTACTGAGTAGCGGGAGTACAGGCACACACCACCGTACTCAGCTAACTTTTTAATCTTGTGTAGAGATGGGGTCTCCCTATGTTGTCCAGGCTGGTCTTGAATTCCTGGGCTCAAGTGATTTTCCCGCCTCAGCCTCCCAAAGCACTGGGATTACAGGCATGAACCACTGTGCCCGGCCACATTTTCTAATTTTTTAAAATTTATTTTAAATATTTTTACATTTTTTTTAAAAACATTTATTTACTTTGGGGTGGGGTCTTGCTATGTTGCCCAGGCTGGTCTTAAATTCCTGGATTCGAGTGATCCACCTGCCTCAGCCTCCCAAAGTGTTGAGATTACAGGCTTCAGCCACCATGACGCCAAGTTATTTTCCACATATCTCGCTTACTGTCTCCCTCCTCCCCTCCTGGCACTGCAAAACATGTCATTTCTATGAAGGCAGAGCTCTCTGTTTCATTTGCTGGCATTCCCTGAAACCTGAAACAGTGCCTGGCACATAGTAGGGCCATATAAATCTTTGCTAAGGACTTGGGAAGGTACAGTCATAGGGTGGCAGCCTGGGCTGGGAGGTCAGTCCCGCCGGGGAAGACACAGTTTTGAGCCAGCCTGCATGGCTGAGACTTGGTAGGTGAGAATGGGAAGTAAAGAGGACCTGGTTTATTTTCACCTGTTGGAAATAAATTGAAAGTTGTGATACAGGGAGGGACCCAAAAAGTCCCTTTCTCTCCTTGGGGCAGCAAAAGACGGAATCTGCCCTGGGGGCTTGGTGGGTGAGTTGGTGGGGATTTCAGGAGAGAAAAACCCCACTTCTGCATGAAGGGGCAGATTTGGGAAGTCCACTCCAGCAGCTGCTCTATCCTCTTGGGTGTGGAGGGAACCTGGTTTAGGAGAAGGAGGCTGGTCACAAGGTTCAGACATTCTGGGAAGAACGAGGTAGGTGGCAGAGGCCTTGAATGCTGGGCTGGCCTGGGTCTCAGCACGGGGAGCCATAGAGTTTGAGGGTGTGGCAGGGTGATGTGGCCACAGGTGTTCATTGATCTTAGTGTACACAAAGGTGGGGCTGGGGGCAATCCAACGGCCCTTGGAAAGGGGAACACGGAGGTTGAGGGCCGGGACCGGAGACACTCTGTGACTCTATCCAGGTCATCTCACTTCTGTGAGCTTCAGTGTTTTTAACTATGGGATGGAATAATCATATTCCTTACCCTACTCTTTTTTTTCTATTTCCTTCCTTCCTTCTTCCTTCCCTTCTTCTTTCCCTCCCTTCCTTCTTTCTTTCTTCCTTCCTTTTCCTTTCTGTTTCTTTCTTTCCCTTCCTTCCTTTCCTCATTTTTTTTTTCTTTCTTTCTTTTTTTAGAGACAGGGTCTTGGGCCGTCACCCAGGCCAGAGCACAGTGGTGCGATCATGGCTCACTGCAGCCTCAAACTCCTGGACTCAAGCAATCCTCCCACTTCTGCCTCCGGAGTCCTGCAACTACAGATACACACCATCATGCCTGCTATTTTTTTCTTTTTTTTGTAGAGATGAGGGCCCAGGCTGGTCTCAAACTCCTGGGCTCAAGCAATTATCCCACCTTGGCCTCCCAAAGTGTTGGATTTATGGGCTTGAACCACTGCATCCAGCCTCGTCTGATGGTCTCATGACTTGCTATGTCCCCAGCACCTAGAACAGGCACAGTAGGCACTCAGGAAATGTGTGATGAGTGGCTCTTGGTCAGTTTGGGCTGCTGTAACAGACCAGCGTGTGGGTGACTTATAAAGAACAGAAGGCTACTTCATGCAGTTCTGGAGGCTGGAAGTCCTATATCACGGTGCTAGCATCATCACGTTCTGGTGGGGACTCCTTTCCCAGTGGCAGACTGCTGTCTTCTGGTTACATTCCCCACGTGGTGGAAAGTGAATGAGAGCGATCTCGGAGATCCCTTTTATAAAGGCACTAATCCCACTGGGAGGGACTTGATTCCCTCCCAAAATTTCCACCTCCTAAAACCATTACACGAAGGGTCAGGATTTCAACATCTGGAATGGCAGAGGCACAAACGTTCCGTCCACAGCAGTGATGGAGCGAGTGAACGCACACCCACTCCTAGCGCTGCAGTGAGATTCCACGCAGGGCGGTCACGACATCCAGCGGGAATTCCGCACTTGCCGATGGCTCGTGCTGTGCCAAGTGTTGTTCTGAGCACTTTCCTGCACAGACTCATTCGACCCTCACGACCGTCTTGTGCGGGGTGACTGATTTCTCCAGTCTGCACGAGGCACAAGGAAGCATGCAAGGGTGATGAAATTTTCCCAACAAACCACGGCTGGGGTGTAAAGGACTGAGCTGCCAGCCCAGGCAGTCAGATAGCCTTGTGCTTGTGACCAGGGCTTGTGCCACAAGCCAGGGTGACAGATGGCCTGGCACACTGAAGGCAGGTGCTCATAACCACAGAGCCTCCTAGGAGGCAAAAGTATCATAATCTATTTTACTTTATTTTATTTTAATTGAGATGGGGGGGTCTCACTATGTTGTCCAGGCTGGTCTTGAACTCTTGGGCTCAAGTGATTCTCCCATTTAGACTCCTGAAGTGCTGGGATTACAGGTGTGAGCCACCATGCGTGGGCATCATCTCCATTTTAGAGCTGAGGAAAGTGGTCTCTAGAGAGGGGAGCTGACCTGCTGAGGCCACCCAGTTAGCAAGTGGGGGAGTCAGGATTTGAACCCATGCAGTCTGGCTCCAGAGCCAGCTGGCTTAGCTTCATGCTTTATCAGGGCAGATACTTTGTGACTGCCTGTAGCAGGAGCAAGACACAAGCAGGGCAGCAAGACAAGGCAGCTGAGTCATAATCTCTTTCTTGCAATGCCAAACTGGCCCTTACACCCTAAGTAACACTTCTAGAATTTTCTAAGACTCTTGTTGAATCCCATCCTCCCTCACTGCCTCTACTCCAGACCTACCTGACCTTCCTTCTGTGCCTCAAATTCAAAAACTTTAAATATGCTGCTCCCCCTGGCTCTTCCCTATGCCCCTCAGGTTTCAGCTACTATGTCCCCTCCCCCAGGAAGCTTTCCCTGATCTTGAGGCTGAGTCAGGTGCCACCTTTGAATTTCTCCATCCCAGCCCTGCCTCCTGTCTAGGGACAGGTCTGTCTCTCCCACTGGACTGTGAGCCTCTGTGAGAAGAGGATTGGGGCTGTCTTAGTCAGCGCTGTGTCCCTAGTACCACCAGGAGCAGGAGTCGGCACAGAAGAGAATTCAGGACCGTGTGCAGTGGCTCATGCCTGTAATCCCAGCACTTTGGGAGGCTGAGGCAGGCAGATCACTTGAGGTCATGAGTTCAAGACCAGCCTGGGCTACATGGTGAAATTCCCTCTCTACTAAAAATACAAAAATTAGCTGGGTGTGGTGGCACATGCCTGCGTCCAAGCTACTAGGGAGGCTGAGGCAGGGGAACCACTTGAGTCCAGGAGGTGGAGGCTGCAGTAAACTGAAATCATGCCACTGCACTCCAGCTTGGGAACAGAGTAAGACTCTGTCGCCAAGAAAATAAAAGAAGAGAAAGAAAAAGAAAGAAGAAAAGAAGGAAGAAGAAGAAGAGGAGGAGAAGGAGGAGGAGGAGGAATCAGGGAGCATTTGTTAAACGAATGGATGGATGGATGGATGGATACATGGATTAATGATATTTCTCTCAGCTGGTAGGTTCTGTTAAATCTTCTGGGTCTGAGTATACATAATCTCAAAGAATAACAGCTTGTCTTGCTCATAGAGATGTTTTTTAAAGTAATTTTTATATATTGAAACTTTACTATGTTCTCTTAAGTTTCAGCTCAGATGTCCACTCCTCCAGGAAGCCCTCCCTGCCCCCTCCCCCAAGACCATGTCAGGCTCCTCCTGGAGTTCCCCCAGCCCTGCTCAGTCTGTGATCCCTGCCCGTCTGACTCCAGAGCTTTTGTTTATGACCAGGATCTAGATCACAAACATGATTTCAGCTCATTTAATATTTACTGGCTGTTTACAATGAACTTGGCACTGGGCCTGTTTTATTAAGCTCTAGGGAGCTTAATTAAGGGGCTGGCCATTGTTTTTTATTATCTTTGGTATTGACCATCCTAATCTCAGTTCTCGGTCTCCAGGGTTCCTGGAGTTGCTCTCTGCACTAGGCAGGGAAGGAAAGTGAGCTCTGGGGGTGGAGAGCAGAGGTAGGGTCAAAGTTGCTTCCCTGCCGCCACCCCTGTCTGTCCTGGGAGCCACAGTTACTTCACTGTGTGTTCGTTTGTAGCAGGGCGGGAGAGGAGAGAAGGCAGGTGGAGGAGCTGCAGCTGGAGTTGGGACTGTCTGTGTGTGCAAGCCGGGGGGACAGACAGCCTGGCACACTGAAGTCAGGTGCTGGGACCCATGGGGCCTGCTGACTTATGGGGACACCACTGGATGGGAATCCTGTTCTCAGGTGAGTGCCCTGCTTCCTTCAGATGGGGGTGGAGGGAGTTGTATGCATCTGTTTGTCAGTGATGTGTGTGTATGTATGTATGTGTGTATGTGCACTTGAGGAAAGAGAGACAGAAGCAGGGGAAAAAATAGAGCGACAGCAATAAGGACAGATGCAGATATAAAGATAGGGCTGGGCATGGTGGCTCATGCCTGTAATCCCAGCACTTTGGGAGGCCAAGGTAGGCGGATCACTTGAGGCCAGGGGTTCGAGAGCAGCCTGACCAACATGGCAAAACGCCATCTCCACTAAAAATACAAAAATTAGCTGGGCTTGGTGACACAGACCTGTAGTCCCAGCTATTTGGGAGGCTGAGGTAGGAGAATTATTTGAACTAGGAACTCGGGAGGCGGAGGTTGCAGTGAGCTGAGATCACACCACAGCACTCCAGTCCGAATGACACAGCAAGACCCTGTCGAAAGAAAAAAAGAAAGAAAGAAAGAAAGAAAAGAAAGAAAGAAAGAAAGAGAAAGAAAGAAAGAAAGAGAAAGAAAGAAAGAAAGAAAGAAAGAAAGAAAGAAAGAAAGAAAGAAAGAAAGAAAGAAACTAGAGGTACAGAAATAAAGACAGATACAAAAGAGATTGACAGAAGGACACACAAACAGAGACCAGAGAGACACAGATAAATGTTTATTTGCCAGTGTGTGTGTATGTGTGTGTGTGCAGAGAAAGAGAGAGAGAAAGACAGAGTCAGAGCCACAGAACCAGAGACCAAGAGAGAAAGAGAGATAGGGAAATACAGGGAGAGAAAGATACACAGAAAGACAGAAAAAGGGTGAAAAAGTAACTTTAGAAATGACACCAGTGGGTGCCAGGGTGGTGGCTCACATCTGTAATCCCAGCACTTGGGGAGGCTGAGGCAGGTGGATCATGAGGTCAGGAGTTAAGACCAGCCTGGCCAAGATGGTGAAACCCTTTCTCTACTAAAAATACAAAAATTAGCCAGGTGTGGTGGCAGGTGCCTGTAATCCCAGCTACTTAGGAGGTCAAGGCAGAGAATCAGTTGAACCTGGAAGGTGGAGGCTGCAGTGAACCGAGATCACACCACTACACTCCAGCCTGGACGACAGAGCAAGACTGTCTCACACACACACACAAACACACACACACACACATACACACACACACGAAAGGAAATGATACAGTGAGAAAAACAGGGAGGGGCAGAAAGGAGAGAGAGGGAGACAGAAGACAAAGAGACAGGGAGAGAACTGTGAAAAGACACAATTAGATTTAGAGAGACGAGGAGAGAATTGGAGCATCACAGGGACAGACAAGCAGAGGAGGGCGAGACAGGCGGAGGGAGGCTGAGGCTGTGCAGCCAGGAGCGGCCAGGTCCATGGATCAGGATGGATGTGAAATTTCTGCCTCAAAGGCATCTGAGACAAAAGGCATAAACTAGAATATTTTGATGAAAAAAGTATTTTGTAAGTGAAGACATGATTTTGCAACAACTCATGTGCAGAGGTGAGGGCTCAGCCCGGTCCTGCTGTGTGTCTCGGGGACCAGCTTCTCCTTCTCTGGGCCTACGCTTCCTGGCTGACCCTAGAAGGCTGCAGGAACTCTGTCGTCCTGGGGGGCTGAGAGTTATCAGCCGCATCCACAGGTGTCTCTGTAAGCGTTGCCTCTTCCTGGTGGGACAGAAGGCAGGACCCTGCGAGAAGAAAGACAGAGGGAAAGGGCCAGGGCAGGCATTCCACAGAGGGAGGCTTCTTGTCTCGGGTGGGTATGATGAGACTCCCATCAGTGCTTTCGCTCACATGATGCCACTTATCCTTTCGACAGTTCAGTGAGGCTGGAACTGTTACTACCTCCATTTTTCAAATGGGGAAACCGAGGCTCAGATAGGGAACATCACTTGTCCAAATAAATGGCAAAGATGGGATTCAAACCCAGGTGGTCAGGCTCTGAGCCTGTGGACCTAACCTCTAATAGCATTTGAGGCAGAGAAACCACAGACACAAGAACCTGTCATCAAGACCACTGCCATCATCATCATCATTGTCATTATGGTGGCTAAATATTTGCTATGAGCTGTTTTAAGCATGTCACATCCAATGTCTCATTCAGACCTCACAACCACCAGATGAACTAAGTTCTACTGTTCTCATCATTTTGCAGTTGAAGAAACTGAGGCTCACAAAGTCCCTTACCCATGACAGTAGGGCTAGTGACAGAGTTTGTATTTGTTCCTAAGAGCTCATGCCCGTATTCACTGACTGGCAGGGAATGGGAGTGTTTGGGCCACACTGGGGCCCTTTTGAGAGGTTTAGAGGGGCATGGTGTCCCGTCTGTGTTAAGTGGGCTTACGGGAGAGACGAGGTCAGTTGCATGTGAGCACAGCTGCTGGGGTTGGGCCCTGGCACAGTCTGTCTCTTTCCTTTTTTTTTTGAGACAAGGTCTAGCTAGCTGTGTCACCCAGGCTGGAGTGCAGTGGCGCGATCTCGGCTCACCGCAACTTTCCCCTCTTGGGTTCAAGCGATTCTCATGCCTCAGCCTCCCAAGTAGCTGGGATTACAGGCACACGTCACCATGCCCAGCTAATGTTTGTAGTTTTTTTAGAGGCGGAGGTTTCACCATGTTGACCAGGATGGTCTCAAATCCTTGGCCTCAAGTGATCCACCCGCCTCAGCCTCCCAAAGTGTCGGGATTACCAGCATGATCCACCGTGCCAGATCCCAGTCTCTTGCAGCCCCCGCAATGGTGTGCAGAATGATCAAATGGAAAACTGGGAACTTGTTCTTTGGTTTGTATTTTTTTTTTTTTGAGATGGGATCTTGCTCTGTTGCCCAGGCTGGTCTCAAATTCCTTAGCCCAAGTGATCCTCCCACTTCAGCCTCCAAAGAACTGAGATTACAGGCATGAGCCACCACACAGGGCTGTAAACTGGAAGCTTCTGTTCCCTTGTTCCTCTTTCCTCCCCATGCAAGTGAAATCTTGCCTGAGGAAGTGACAAAAGTCAGTATTTCACACCAAGATCACAGAAGTACCTGTGAATCAAGGGTTGGGTCTGTGGCCATTTCTAGGCTGACAGGAGGAATTAGTGTTGAGAGCAGTCTTCAGGCCCTGGCAGGCCAGGTTCAAGTTCAGCTTCTGCCTCTGACAGTAAGGACTTATTGTCAGTCAGTGACATCACCTCTCTGAGCATTGGTTTCCCTCTATGTGGAATGGGGAAGCCATCTTGTGTCTCCACTAGAGGCCACATCATTGGAGAGAACACGGTGACTGGGGGCCCAGTTAATGTTTGCCAGTATTCATTACCACCCCCACAACGACCCTAGGATGCAGGTGATAGTATTCCCATGTTATAGCTGAGGAGACTGAAGCTCAGAGAGGACAAAAACATGCTGCAGCCGGGCGTGGCGGCTCACGCCAGTAACCCGGCACTTTGGGAGGCCGAGGAGGCCGATCACTTGAGGTAAGGAGTTGGAGACCAGCCTTGGCAACAGACTCCATCTCTACTAACAATACAAAAATTATCTGGGTGTGGTGGCCCGTGCCTGTGATCCCAGCTACTCGGGAGGCTGAGGCTGGAGAATCCCTTGAACCTGGGAAGCAGAGGTTGTGGTGAACTGAGATTGTGCCACTGCATTCCAGCCTGGGCAACAGAGCCAGACTCTGCCTCAAAATACAAAAACAAAAACACACACACAGAAACCAGACAAACAAACATGATGCAAGTCATGTAGCTGGTAAGTACTGAGTAGGACAAGTCTCTATGGGTGAGATGCCAGCTCTTTGACCTCAGAATTCCTTCTGCTTCTGAAGACCCTAACCGGGCACCCGCCAACACACCTCTCCCTCCCCAAATGTCTCCTCTCTCCCCTTCTAGTCTCGCTTTGGATCGTATGGAGTCCTCCAGCTGCAGCCCAGTTCACCTTCAATGCCAACCCACATGGCGCCACGCAAAGTGAGAAGGCTGTTGTTCTGTCTGTGTCTGGGACCCCCGGGACACCCCAGGCTCATGGCACAACCAGAGGTGTGGGCCCTGAAAACAAGACAGCCATTCTGATCTCTGCCTCCATGGAGATCCACCATCTGGGCCTCACGCCCAAAGTCCCAAGAGGACGAATCTGATTGGCTCAGCCAGGGTGTGGCAAGGACTGGTTCAGCCATCTATGCCAGGGGTGGGGGGTAAAGGGGGAGGGCTGTGGTTGTCATGGCTGGGGTGGGCAAAGTTAGCTAAAAAGCGGGCAGGGTGACTGGGTGCAGGCCCTTACACCTGTCATTCCAGCACTTTGGAAGGCTGAGGTGGGTGGATTACTTGAACTCAGGAGTTTGTGACCCACCTGGGCAACATAGGAAGACCCCATGTCTCCAAAAATAATCGCCAGGTATGGTAGTGCACACCTGTAGTCCTAGCTATTGGGAGGCTGAGGTAGGAGGATTGCTTGAGCCCATGAAATCAAGGCTGCCGTGAGCTGTGATTGCACCACTGCACTCCAGCCTGGGTGACAGAGTGAAATCCTGTTTCAATAAAGAAAAAGAGTGGGTAGTGGCCCTTGCTGGCACCCAGGTGGCAAGCTTGATTGTTGTTGCAGCTGACATTGACTGACCTCGTCAGGTCCCAGATCCTCTGACTCACTTGCACAATGGCTTTCAATGGGGCTTGGAGAGGGGAAGTAACTTGCCCTAGATGCCACCTACGACAAGCAGTAGATCCAGCACTTAAGCCCAGGCAGCCAACTCCAGTGTGCCTTCTGGCAGTTCCAATCTAGTCCTGTTTCTCTGGGTCCCTCTGGAACTATGTCTTGTTTGTTCTTCCTCTACCTGTGTCTCTGCCTCTGTCTCCGTCTCTTGCTTTCAGGGCTGGCCAAGCCCACCATTCAGGTCAGCTCCGGCACTGCCATAGAGCAGAAGGAAATGGTGACCTTCTACTGCAACACCAGTGATGTCAACATTACCATCCACTGGGTTTCCAACAACCTCCCCCTCATGTTCCGTGAGCGTATGCAGCTGTCCAAGGATGGCAAGACCCTCACCATTCTCATTGTCCAGCGGGAGGACTCAGGGACTTACCAATGTGAAGCTCGAGATGCCTATGGGAGTCAGAGCAGCGACCCCACCTTCCTGGAAGTGAATTGTGAGTCCCTTTCCATTCTTTCCAACTCCTCACCGACACTCATTTCCTTAGTGCCTGATTCAGTCTCGCAATACCACCCAGATGTGGACTTGTCTACCTTTGAACTTCAGACATGTAACTGTTTGACATCTCTACTTGGATTCCACTGGAAACCTCCAACTTAATGTGTCTAAAAATTGAGCTCCCAAACCTCAGACGTTTGATCCAAAACCTTGCCTGGATAGGGGTGAGCAGAGCATTAGCTGGCTCACTTTATTTATTCATTCATTCGAGACAAGATTGTTGTCCAGGTTGGAGCGCAGTGGTGCAGACATAGCTCAATGCAGACTCGACCTCCTGGGCTCAAGTGATCTTCCTGCCTCAGCCTCCTGAGTAGCTGGGACTACAGGCATGAGCCATTGCAACTGGCTAATTTTTAAATTTTTTGTAGAGATGGCATCTTGCTACGCTGCCCTGACTGGTCTTAAACTCCTTGCTCCAAGCAATCCTCTTGCCTCAGTCTCCCAAAGTGCTGGGATTACAGGTGTGAGCTACCAGCTACCATGTCCGGTCAGTTGGCATACTTCAGATGTGTCTTTCAATCTTGCTTTACCCTGAGATTAGGCTGACATTTCATCTCCATGTGACTGCTGTACCTCCTTTGTAATGGATATAGCCTTTGAGTGGGGAGGAGGGAAACAGTATTTCTTGATCCACTAAAGGCCTCCATAAGGGACCTGTTGCTGATGCTATTGTTACTGTTGTAATTGTTCCTGTCCTCTCAGATGGTCCTGACCCTGCTGACATCAAATTGGAGTCTGGTGTTGCCAGTGGGGAGGTGGTTGAGGTGATGGAGGGCTCCAACGTGACCTTCTTGGTGGAAACAAAGTCTCGTCCACCCCCTTCCTACATGTGGTTTCTCCCTGACTCCTCCAATCTGTCTCTCACCATGAGAACATTCGCCATCCATGCTGTGTCCAGAGAACATGAGGGCCTGTACAAGTGCTTGGTGTCCAACGGTGCCACCCACCTGTCCCGCCTGGGTACTCTGAAGGTCCAAGTCCTTGGTAAGTCTCCTTTCCTGGTTCCTCTCCTTTGTTCTTTTGAGAGTCAGACAGTGGCTATGTCAGAAGGATCTAGGAGTTCTTAATCCGGGGCCTTTGGATACTGCTTGAGGGAGTCATTTCTGCATGGTATTGAGTTGCAGGCAAGATGTTTGTGCTGTGTTCTAGAGACAGGGTCAAGGATTGTCATCAGATTTTTGAAGGAATCTTAAACTCTTAAAGAGCCACTGAGCTATTCTAATACCCCAGAGTTTGAGGAGGACCCGGGGGGATTTCCAATGTAGCTGGTGGTTGAGCAGGGTTCCAACTGCAGGGAAGGCTGGGCACACTGGCCTCTAGCTTGGAACGTCCTGCAAAAGACCCTGGTGGCTCTCTAGGGGGTGCCCATGATTTGATTCTCTGGAGGTGGGGGGTTAACTGTCTACATTTAAAAACACTAACACAACACTCACACACTCCATACACACACAGATAACCCCACATTCACGGCACACTCACATACAATATACATAGTAAACATAACTCATACCTTGCAATAACACATACACATACCGTGTAATACCATAAACATACAGCACTCACTCACACAAAACATACACACATATAGCATGCACACCACAGAGGTGTACAACTCACCCATCACAAAGTATATAGCACATCAGACATATGACATATACACACAAACCCGCAACACACACACACAAACCCACAACACATACAAAATGCTCACACATATTCACAACACATACAACACACACTCACACAAAACATACACACATATAGCATGCACACATCAAAGGTGTTCAACTCACAAAGTCCATAACACATCAGACACACACACATACACACAAACCCACAGCACATACACACGAACCCACAACACATACACACAATATGCTCACACACATACAACACATGACATACAAAACACAGACACACATATCTTACATACGTCTACCAACAAACAAGATCACAGATACATGACACAGTCACATAAAAAATATATATATTCTTAATATGTACCAGTGGACACACACAACACATCACAGACACTCAGCACCCACTAAACATTACAAACATCCAACATCAGACACTCAAGATGTACAACATGAAAAACACACCACATACCATACATTCAACACCCTTAACACATATATACAACAGAAACACAATGCACACACAAAATGCATACACATACCACATGCAGCAGAGACCGAGCATATATACACAACACAAACAATACCACAGACATAGAACATACACTCATATACAAAAGATATATACATATAACATATGCTCACGTAGAAAGTGCGCATTCAACACATACACCCAGCACACGAGAGATGCAAAACACACAAACACCACACACTATGCACACAACCCATTGCATATTCACCTAATAATCACACAACACACATTCATCCACAAAAGACATATATGTACCCGTCAGTCACATGCAAATAACACACAAGCACACACACACACACACACACACACACACCTGGAAAAACCTTGTGGGCCCCACATAGGCAGGAGACGGGGGAAATCTCCCTGAACTTGATCCTGTATCTCTGTGTGTTTCCAGAAACACTGACCACACCTCAAGTCATGTCTTCAAGCCCAAACCTTGTGGAGAATGCCAGGTCTGTGGCCCTGACCTGCCAAACTGACCATGAGAGGGTGAATGTCCAGTGGTTCCTGAGTGGCCAGCCCCTCCTGCCCAGTGAGCACCTGGAGCTGTCGGCTGACAACAGGACCCTGACCATCCATGGCCTCCAGCGGAACGACACAGGGCCCTATGCTTGTGAGGTCTGGAACTGGGGCAGCCAGGCCCGGAGTGAGCCCCTTGAGCTGACCATCAACTGTGAGTCACCTGGGGCCTGGACCTTCCCCTTCTCCCTGCCTCTCTAAGTCCTTCCTTCCAGTAGTTGATGTGATTATTGAGCTCCTGCTCTGTGTCAGGCATGAATCTGAGCACTGGACAAAGCCAAGTCCCTGCCCTCAGGGGGCTTATGTTCTAGTGTAGAAGCCAGACCATAAACAGAGAAGTAGGTAATAAGGTTTAGGGACAGCACCAGATTTAGGCTTTCACAGGGTCTCACTGGCCCTTGTCTACAGGGAGGCAAACATAGAAGCGGGAGAGAGGAAAAGTGAAAGAAGGAGTTGTATTTGTCCGGATCCTTGGAGAAGCAGACTCCAAGATGGGATTAACAGGATTATTCATGCAAGGGTTTTATTGGGGGAAATGTGCCTGTGAGGATAACTAGGGAGGCAGTTGTAGGAAGTCTGGGAGAGCCATCAGACTGGGAGACTGGGATGCAAATGTGACCCCGAGTGACAGGGAGAGGGACAGGGACTTGAATGGATGCACCTGGATAACCATGCAGTTGAAGGAACACCCATCAAGGCTGCTGGGACCTTCCATGTCCCCAGGAAGGGGCCTGCCTTAGTTTCCTGGATGTACCCAGATACTGGCAGGGTGCAGCCTGTGGGAGGACTGGGAGCGGATTTGGGGACACAGCACTTAAGCCCTTGGTCAATTATATTTCTGCCATTGGAGGTCTTTGAAGAGCTTCTCCTGGTGGCCACAATTGCCCGGCGAAAGATAATGAGGTGACCCAGAGCGGCAACTGTCAGGTGATGAGAAATGGGTGCACTGTGGATATATTTTGAATATGCTGCTGACTGATATTAGGTGAAAGAGAAAGAAAGGGGTTGAGAATGACTCTAAGGTTTATTGCCTGAGCCACTGAAAGGATGTAGGAATCATGAACCAATATGGAGAAGACTGGGGGAGAAACCAGTCTTCTGCAGGAAGGGAATGGGGGAGTGCACTTTTGTACATGCGAAGTAGCAGGGAACACAGAGGTAGGGGCTATTAAGTACATGTCTTTGCTCCTCTTTCCCTTTCTCTGTTGCTCTCTCCTCTTTCTTTCTCAATTCAGTCATTAAACCAAAAATATTTATTTTGTGCTGTCTCTGTGCTAAGCAACGTGTTGGGCATCTGATACTTGCCATGATTTTCAGCTCTCACAGCCTGCTGGGGATGGGGAGGTCACTAAGCAGGCAAATAAAACACAGCATGATAAATGGGGCCTTGGGAGACAAAGGGAGGGTCTGGGAAGCCCAAAGGAAGCCTCTATCTGGGGGATGTTGCAAAGGGTCATTATGAGCGGGAATGTCTACCATGAGAGCTGAAGGATGAGTAGGAGTAGCTGGTTACAGCAAAGTCAGGGAAGGGCATTCCAGGCAGCAGGAAGAGTATGCAATGGCTTTAAGGGAGGAGAGAGGGTAACAGGGATAGAATCTCTGAATGAGATTTAACTCCTGAATGAGAGCAGGAGGGGTGGGAAGGTGGCAGGGCTAGAGGGGTCTGTAAGAGTCAAATTGTAAATGGCCTCATCAGCCATTGGCTTTGTCCCAAGGGCACTGGGGAGTCACAGAAGGTTCTGAACACTGGAGGGATAGTGACAATTTAGTACATAGGAAGACTTTTCTGGCTGCTGTGTGGAGGATGAACCTGGGATGGGGAGACCAGGAGGGGCTAGGATGCAGGTGAGGGATCTAAGTGGCCATGGGGTTAGAATGAAGAGAAACGAACAGGTTCAAAGGATGTTTAGGAGGGAGCAGAGATAGGGTATTCCTCCCCTCCTGAAATGTCTCGATTAGCAACCTTTGCATCCTTTCCAGTATTTTACATTAATTTAAATAAAGTATGACTCTCAAACTCTTTCAGGTTTTTTAAAAAATAGAGACAAGGTCTTACTATTTTGCCTAGGCTTGTGTTGAACTCCTGAGCTCAAGCAATCTCCCTGCCTCACCCTCCCAAAGTGCTGGGATTACAGGCGTGAACCACAGCTCCAGGCCCAAACTCTTTTAATTTATATGAGAAATCCAACAGCTACTTTCGTCTGTTTCCTTCTTGTATGTGGTAGAAGAGGAAAGTGACAATGATTCCCTCTGACATTACAAATAAAATGTATACCATTGAACAGCACTAGAAGTTAGAAGTTAGGGTTATGTGCACAGGACACAGTAACAATTTCTATTCTTTTTCTTTCTTTTTGAGGCGGTCTCACTCTGTCACCTAGGCTGGAGCGCAGGGATGCAATCTTGGCTTACTACAACTTTGGCCTGCCAGGTTCAAGCTATTCTTAGGCACCTGAGTAGCTGTGATTACAGATATGTGCCACCACACCCAGCTAATTTTATTTTTCTTTTTTCAGTAGAGATGGGACTCGCCATGTTGGCCAGGCTGCTCTTAAACTCCTGGCCTCAGGAGTTCCACCCTGACATCCACCTACCTCGGCCTCCCAGAGTGCTGGGATTACAGATGTGAGCCACTGTGCTTGGCTGAGCAACAATTTCTGATGCCTGGGTAACTTAGAATACTCATTTAAATTCACTTTTGCAAAGGCAGAGTTTTCGGTTTTTGTTTTTGTTCCGATCTCCTCCATCCCCATTGTTGTCGAGCACACTCTGCTTGTCAGACAGCTTAGCAGGAAAAAGGAACATGTTCTCTTTCTCTTACTGAGATTCCAAGGTGAAAGTGAGTGGGGCAGAATGGGATGACTTGCCGATGGGGGCCAGGGTGCCTCATGTTTGGCTTTGCACACAGATGGTCCTGACCAAGTGAACATCACCAAGGAGTCAGCGTCTGGGGTGGTCAGCACCATCAAGGCAGAGCTCAACTCCAGCCTCACCCTGCAGTGTTGGTCCGAGTCCAAGCCAAGTGCTGAGTATCGCTGGACTCTTGAACACTCCACCGGGGAGCACACAGGGGAGCAGCTGATCATCAGGGCTCTGACCTGGGAACACAACGGGATCTACAACTGCACAGCCACCAACCCACTCACCGGCCTGGCCCGCTCTGCTTCTGTCCTAGTCAAGGTGGTAGGTGAGTCTCTCAGGGTTGCCTTCTCCTGGGACACAAGGGGCCTTTCCTGATGCTGGTCCTGGCCACATAGTCTATCCCCACCGAGGGCTGGAGTATGGCAGTCTCCACACTGCCTGAACAGGTTCTCCGTCCACAGCTGTTGAATCCCAACCCCTCATGCTCAGGGGAACACAGAACATCCACTTCCTGCTGTGTTCCCTGGAAAACTCTCCAGGCTATTCTAAGCCTCAGTTTGCTTACCTGTAAATTGGGTCTGTGATGTGTTTTAGCCCGTTTTCATACTGCTGATAAAGATGTGCCCAAGATTGGGTAATTTATAAAGAAAAAGAGGTTTAATGGACTGACAGTTCCACATGGCTAGGAAGGCCACACAACCATGGCGGAAGGCAAAAGGCGTGTCTCACATGGCGGCAGACAAGAAAGAATGGGAACCAAGTGAAAGGGGAAACCCTTTATAAAATCATCAGATCTCATGAGACTTATTCACTACCATGAGAACAGTATGGGAGAACTGCCCCCATGATTCAATTATCTCCCACTGGGTCCCGCCTACAACACATGGGAATTATGGGAGCTGCAATTCAAGATGAGATTTGGCTGGGGACATAGCCAAACCATACTGTGATACCTATCTTTCAGAGTTGTTTAGAAGGACGATGAGTCGGGGACATACCCAGGGAGGGAAGGACTGAGCTATATGGGGAATCAGAAATGATGTTAATAACAACCAGGCATGACTGGCAGGGAGTCCCTGTATCTCTATCTTTAGTTTAGTTTTTTTTGTTTTGTTTTGTTTTTGTTTTGAGACGGAGTCTCACTCTGTTGCCAGGCTGGAGCACAATGGTGTAATCTCGGCTCACTGCAACCTCCGCCTCCCGGGTTCAAGCGATTCTCCTGCTTCAGCCTCCCAAGTAGCTGGGACTACAGGTGCTTGCCACCACACCCAGAAAATTTTTTGTATTTTTAGTAGAGACAGGGTTTCATCATGTTGGCCAGGATGGCCTTAATCTCTTGACCTCGTGATCCACCCGCCTCGGCCTCCCAAAGTGCTGGGATTACAGGCATGAGCCACTGCACCTGGCCTGTCTTTAGTTTTTTGTAGGGCTGATGGCCCCACAGGGTCATGGGGTGAGCCTTATGCTGTGCTGAGGCGCAGGATCTGAGAAATAAAGAGACAGGACACAGAAGTACAAGAAAAACGCAGCTGGGCTCGGGGGGCCACATCACCTATAAGCAGAGTCAGGCGAGGCCCCGAATGTCCAGAAGCATGAGTATTTATTGTGTATAGGTTAGGAGGCAGGGCAGTGAGTGAAATCATCTTTAAGGATAGTGATAGGGTCGTGAGCAATAAAACATGGGGTCCACCCCCATTAGGTCACCTAGGCCAGGAGGTGGACAGTGCACAGTAAGGGGCCCATTCCCACAAAGGCAAGGGCCGTGTGCAGTAAGGGGTCCACCCCCATTAGGTCACCTAGGCCAGGAGGTGGACAGTGCACAGCAAGGGGCCCATTCCCACGAAGGCAAGGGCCGTGTGCAGTAAGGGGTCCACCTCCATTAGGTCACCGAGGTTTGAAAGTGGGCTGTGCTCAGTGTGCAATACTTCTATCTATGGTCAAACTACTTCTAAGAAGATTTATAGGAGGATGCTTTAAGTCACATAGCAGTGACAGAGCTGTCAAGGTTACCGCCACCTTCTGGCAGCTTCCAACAGGTTCTATGGGAAGATGCTTTTCAAGCAGCACAGCAGCAAGAGCTGATAAAGTTCACAGTGACCAAGGTGGATTGCCGTTCTGAGGGCAGCCTTCCCCAAGAACTGGAGCAAGGTCCTACAACTCCTTTATCAGGAGGAGTGGCTCTCGCCCCAAGCCTGCCATACAGCAGGTATCTTTACGATACTGAACGCTGCCACCTGGGCCATGGATTCTTGTCCTGGCATAACTGTTTTTCCCTTAAATCATGCTCTGCCCTGTGTCTGCTCTAGGCATTCCTCCGATTATAAGCTGCTTATTCCTTAATTCATGCTCTGTACCGTGTCCACTCTAGGCATTCCTCCAATTATAAACTAAGATATAATTATAGGTATATATGTAGGGAAATATTCTTTAGGCACTCATACTATTAACTATTATATGATTATATATAGAGGATTATAGAAAGGGATTCTTCAAGCCCTATTTCTATAAACTAATATATGATTATGTAAAGGATTATATAAAAGGAAATAGCTGAGTAGTAACACTATAAAGTGAGATATTCCTCAAGCCCTAACTGTGCCAGGGTTCTGCTTAGCTCTCATTCCTCGGTGCCTATATGGGGGGTTACTCACAGTTCTTGAGAAGGCAACAGTGTCACTCTTCACCAGGGTTTACATCCTTCTCCAATGCTTATTAGCTGTGTGACCTTGGGCAAGTTATTTATCCTCTCTGGGCCTCTGACTTATTATCTGTAAAATATAATACTTCTGCTTGTTTCTTAGGATTGTTGAAGATGGGTTAACATTTGTGAAGTTCTTAGGGCAGTGCTTGGCATATTGTGTTTGGTAAACAAACAAAATTATTCCTTTTTTTTTTTTGAGATGGTCTCACTGTGTCACCCCGGCTGGAGTGCAGTGTCATTATCATGGGTCACTGAAGCCTCAACCTCACAGGCTCAAGTCATCCTCCCATCTCAGCCTCCTGAGTAGCTGGAACTACAGGTGTGTGCCACCACACACAGCTAATTTTTTATTTTTATTTTTTGTAGAGATGGGGCCTCCCTATGTTGCACAGGCTGGTCTCAAACTCCTGGACTCAAGTAATCCTCCTGCTTTGGCCTCCCAAAGTGCTGAGACGACAGGCTTGAGCCACCACACCCAGCCTAAAATAATGATCATAAATCAACACATCATTATTTGCTGAACCTGTGCCACATGTCTGAATCCAACTTTCTCATATATCATATCAATAAACAATTCTTGGGTACTCTCTGTCAGCCAGTTTTGAGGTGAGCCTGTTGGTTTATTCATTGTACAGGAAGGGAAACAGAGCTTTGGACTCAAATCCTGCCACCGGGGTTTGAAACCAGGTCCTCAAGTTGTTCACTAAGCCTAGGACAGCATTTATGTCAACTTCCAAGTTGCCTCATTTAACCTTCAGAACAACCCTGTGGTCTTGTTAAGACCATTTGACAGGATAGATGGAGCAATGGAGGCTCCGGGGAGGAAGCAGTGAGTGCAGTTGATGCTCATGGGGATATTGTAGGATTTGAATGAGATAATCTATGAAGGGCTCTTGATGCTGTAGCTTGCTAGACAGCAGCTTCTGTCATTGGCATCATCATTTGTCAACCATCTGCCATGTATCAGGCACTGTGCTGGTAGTTTTATACATGATCTCATTAATCCCTTAAAAAGTGTAGAGGCCGGGCACAGTGGCTCATGCCTGTAATCCCAGCGCTTTGGAAGGGTGAGGCAGGTGGATCACATAAGGTCAGGAGTTCAAGACCAGCCTGGCAACATGGTGAAACCCTGTCTCTAAAAATTAGCCGGGCATGGTGGTGGGCACCTGTAATCACACTACTTGGGAGGCTGATATAAAAGAATTGCTTGGGAGGCAGGCAGTAAGGTTGCAGTGGTTTCAGAGAAAGCAGAAGTTGCGGTGAGCCAAGATGGTGCCTCAAAAAATTTTTTTAAAGTCTATAAAGTTTGGAATTCTTATCCTTGCTCAACATATAAAGAAATGGAATGTGGCTAGGCACTGTGGATCATGCCTATAATCCCAGCAGTTTGGGAGGCCAAGGTGGGCGGATCACCTGAGGTCAGGAGTTCAAGACCAGCCTGGCCAACATTGTAAAACCCAGTCTCTACTAAAAATACAACAATGATAATAACAACAACAAAATTAGCCTGATGTGGCAGTGCATGTCTGTAATTCCAGCTACTCGGGAGGCTGAAGCAGGAGAATTGCTTGAACTCAGTGGGTGGAGGTTGCAGTGAGCCAAGATTGTGCCATTGCACTCCAGCCTGGGTGACAGAGTCAGACTCCATCTTAAAAGAAGGAAACAAAAGAAATGAAAGAAAGAGAGAGAGAGAGAGAGAAAGAAAGAGGGAGGGAGGGAAGGAAGGAAGAAAGGAAGGAAGGAGAAAGAGAGAAAAGAAAGGGAGGGAGAGAGAGAGAAAGACAAAAGAAAGAAAGAAAGAAGAAAGAGAGGAAGGAAGGGAGGGAGGGAGGGAAGGAGGGAGGGAGGGAGGGAAAGGAAGGAAGGGAGATGCAGAGAATAAAACTAAGAAGCCCTGAAGCACCCTAAGAAGTTCCCTCCTGCCCCTCCAAAGCAGAACTCCTTCCTCACACTCCTGACCCTTGTGGCTGTGTCCTTCATCCCACTGGCTGGATTTCACCCTTTTGAGAAAGGTTCCGGCAGAAGTGAGATGGGCAAACAGCAGGCCAATACTAATGAAAGCAATGGCCATTTATTAATCACCTACTATGTGCCAAGGTGTTAACATTCATGATTTCATCTCACCTTTGCAAACATTCTGTGCTATTTACAGATGAAAAAATGAGACTCAGAAATGAATTCACTTGTCCAGGGTCACACGGCCCCAGTGAGTCAAGGAACTCTGAGTGAAAGCCAGGTTTCTGGTTGCCAAAGCTCCTTTCTTTGGCCTGTGCCTCCTCTCTGGGAGGGATGAAAGGCAAAGCCATGTTTGATCCATTATCCTAATTGGCGTCATCATCATGGGCAATATTTACCGATCATTTTCCATGATCCCAAACAAACACTATATATATAGAACATGAATACATATATGCGTAACCTTTCCAAAAAACCCTAGAAGGCCTCATGGGAAACCTATTGTTCCCATTTTACAAAGGTAACACGCTCAAAGTCACACAGCTGAAATTTGGACCCAGAAACTGGATATTTCAGTTTACAAATGATACTCTTAATACCACTGACTGAGGCTGGGCGCGGTGGCTCATGCCTGTAATTCCAGCACTTCGGGAGGCTGAGGTGGGCAGATCACTTGAGGTCAAGAGTTCCAGACCAGCCTGGGCAACATGGTGAAACCCTGTCTCTACCAAAGAATACAAAGAATTAGCCTGGCATGGTGGCGAGTGCCTGTAGTCCCAGCTACTCGGAGAGGCTGAGGTGGGAGGATCGCTTGAACCTGGGGGCGGAGGTTGCAGTGAGCCGAGGTTGTGCCACTCCAGTCTGGGTGACAGAGTGAGACTTTGTCTCAGGGGAAAAAAAAAAAAAGCAAAAACAAAAAAATCACAATTTTATACCTCCCAAAGACTGGAAAACAAGTGCTCACAAAATATCAGCAGAGAAAAAGCTGCGAGCTTGGGAAGGTGCTGGGGCAGGAATGAGGGTGTGTGAGGCCTGGATCTTGATTCTCTCTCCTTGCCCAGGTCCCCAGTCCTCCTCCCTGTCCTCAGGGGCCATCGCTGGTATTGTCGTCGGGATCCTGGCTGTCATTGCTCTGGCCACAGAAATGGTCTATTTTCGCTACATCAGAAATGCCAGACGGTAACACAGGGACACAGGGGGGGAAATGGGGGCATGGCCAACAGGGGGCGCGTCTGCCAGGCTTGTTGCTGACCATGGTGCTGAGTCGTGTCTGGCACCTGGGGAATTCAGAGGGTTGGGGGCATTGTCCAAGAATGGACACAGGATATGGGCAGAACCTGTGGAGATGGGCAAGGACTAGAGGCACAGAAGAATGAGGGCTTTGGGGTTTCAGGCCCTCAAGGAAAACAGCAGATGACCCCATTCATGAGACTTCACAACCCACCCCTAAGGAGGAGCACCCTACAGAGCCCAGTTCCAGTAAGTGACTCTACGGCTGATGCCTGGGTCAGGGGTGAGGGCTGGGGAAGAGGCCGGTGCTGGGGGCTCCCAGCTTTGCCACCAGGTCACTGTATGATCAGGGCAAACCCTGTCTACTCTAAGCCTCTGTGTTGCCATCTGGAATATGGATGAGATTGGAGTCAAGCCCTCTGATGGGTTCTGCCTGTTCCAACAGTCATGGCAAAAGCAAGACACCATGCTGGAATTCTCTCCTTTCTCAATCTCAGAAAACATTGTTAATTGATTGTTGTACACAGAGTGAATCAATCACAACACTCCTTCCTGTTGAATCCAAATCCAGTCTCATAACATATTTCAACATAGTGCCTGGAGTGCCCTCTACTCGTGGGTTAGAGTTAACCAAAGACAAAATGATACATATTTGCCATGTCTGCATCTGGGATTCTGGAAGGAGAAGCCTTTTGATATGGAAGGTTTTCTAGAAACTGTTCAATCCAGCCCCATTTAACAGAGAGGAAAACCAAGGCCATGAGGGATGAAGAGCTAAACCCAGGCTACAGACGACCCAGTGTCAAAACTGGGACTAAAACTTAGATTTCCCCCCTCATCTGTGTTACCATACAGCCTTCCTAACCCAGAACCTGATTTCCAGGACATTCCCAGGACAGGCTCACTGGAAATGTGACAGGGAGTCCTGGGAAGAAAGATTTCTGCACTTCCTTCCTGGGGAGAGGGGTCCTAGAAAAACAGCCCCTTGCCCCATATCTCCTTCTGACTCCAGCTCCTGACTGAGATTCACTTTTCCTAGAAAGCCTGAGGCCTGAGTATTGCAACACATCCCAGCTCCAGGGATGGAGCAGAGTTGAAAAGGTGAGTTATGCTGCAGAGGGATCTTCCTTGGTCCTCCGACCAGGCTGCTATAGTCCTACCTCTTAGGGTGGGAGCTGGCATGATCTCTTGAGAAAACCCAGTGCCAGGACAAGTCTCTCTGCATCTCCCTCCCTGACTTCTCTGATGGTCTCAAGACCCTCCTGGGTTTTTTCATCTCTTCTCCTCGTCTTCTTACTCTTTGACATGATAATCCCTAGCTTTGAGCCCCCTGGAAATCACAAGGGCTATAGCTGCCTCTGAGGCCAAAGCTATTTCTGAGAATCTCTTGGGGTAGCCCCCATTCCAAGCCCTATGACCTCTCTGCAACTTTGTTTTTCCCCAGATGCAACCACCAGACCCTCCAGAGAAGACCTATGAGGTACCTTGCCCCTGCTGGGTTTGGTTAAAGAATCTATAGAGGAAATACAATCTGAGTTTAAATGTGACAATCGTGAGAGATCATCTTGTCTAAACCTTTTATTGCACATCACGGGACCAGGGATGGGAAGAGAGAAGCCTAGGGCCTCAAAAGGAGCTGGGTCAGATGCCAAGAACCTGGATCCTCTTTTGTCCCTTCCACCTCCAGGGCTAGGAATTGGACTGCCAGTGAGGTGGTACTGGAACAGCACATGCCGGGGTGAAAAGGAGGCTGGGAGTAGGGGTTGCAGAGCCAGCAAGGAAAAGGAGAGTCCTGGGCCAGGGACAGAGCCTGTGTTCTAACTCTGCTTCCACCTCTGATTCTCTGCAAGAACCTGAACAGATTCCTTCCACTCTGGGTCTCTGAAGACTAAGTTGGTACATTCCTGGCAATCTGTGTTTGCGGGCCCTACCTGATTTCTCTGCTTACTTGCAGATGAAGCTGCCTTCAGAAAGCCCTGGAGGCAATTCTTTCAGCCCCTGCAAGCCACCACCCAAAGCTCTGATGCCCCCACTCAGATTGCTCTCCATTCGGCCAAAGAGTAACATGGAGTCAATCTATGAGGTATGTTGATGCCACATTGAGTCTTTGGGCAGGTGGAAATCTATCACCAATCTGCTTTTTCTTCCCTACTAAAGAGTCTGTAGGATGAACTATGAAAAACAATTCCCTTTAAAAAATCTCAAATCCATCCTATCCATTTCCATCTTGTCATTTTCTACTCAGTTTTACTTCATTCCTTTCCAGTGCACTCCATTTTATTGCATTCCATTTCACTCCATCCATTTCCTTTTGGTCCATTTAGCTTTATTCAGTTTCTGTATTTCTGTATCACTTCACTCTGCCATTTTCTTTCCATTCCACTCTATTTCCGCCCATCCCATTTCTTCCCATTCACTCTACTCCATTCCATGCCTTTTCTTTTCTCTCCATCCTTTTCGTCTTCTTCCTTTTTCTTTGTTTCTTTCCTCTTCCCCTTCCCTCCCCTCTCCTCTCTCCCTCCCTCCCTCCCTTTCTTCTTCTATTTTTTGAGACAGGGTCTTTCTCCGTCATCCAGGCTGGAGTGCGGTGGCTCAATCTCTGATCACTGCAACCTTCACCTTCCGGTTCAAGGGATTCTCTCACTTCAGCCTACCAAGTAGGCATCAGCCATCACGCCCATCTAATTTTTTTATATTTTTTGGTAGAGACAGGGTTTCACCATGTTGGCCAGGCTGTTCTCAAAACTCCTGACCTCAACTGATCTGCCCACCTTGGCCACCCAAAGTGCTGGGATTACAGGAGTGAAGCCACCGTGCCTGGCTCATTCCATGCCTTTTCATTCCATCCCACTCAACTCTGTTTGATCCCATTACACTCCTTTCCATCTCTTTCTTATTTCATTCCTTTTCGTTCTTTTCCATTTCTATTACTTTTATCCATTTCTTCTTTTAATTCCTTTCAATTCATTGATTTTACATTCCATTACACTCTATTTTATTCCAGCTTCTCAATTTCCCTCCCACCATTTTATTTCATTTCCATTCTTATTCTTCCCATCCCATTGCATTCCTCTTATTTCCATCCATAAATTGAATCCATTTCATCCATTCTATTTCCTACCTCTCCATTCCTTCCTAGTCAATGTCCCTATTTACATTCATTTCCATTTGATTGGTTTTCATTTCATTCCACTGCATGCCAGCTTTTTTCTGTTTCTTTTCCATTCACTTTTGTTCCCATTCCCGTTCTTCTTTTTCACTCACTTTCTCTTCTCCATCCCTTCCCTTACATTCAGTTCTATTTAACTGTTTTCCATTCCCTTCTCTCTGTGGTCTTCTCCTTTTCCTTTCTTTCCAATCCATTCCACTCTATTCTATTCCATTCAATTCTACTCCATGTTTTTTCACTTTCATCCTCTCCCTTCATGCCCTGTATGGCACTTCATTCCCTTGTCTTTATTACTTTCCTTTTCAAGCTTCCCATTTAAGTTCTTTTCTTTCTTTCTTTCTTTCTCTCTCTCTCTCTCCTCTCTCTCTCCCTCCCTCCCTCCCTCTCCCTCCCTCCCTCCCTCTCTCTCTCCCCCTCCCTCCCTCCCTCCCTCCCTCTCTCTCTCCCCCTCCCTCCCTCCCTCCCTCCCTCGCTCCCTCTCTCTCTCTCTCTCTCTCTCTCTCTCTCTCTCTCTCTCTCTCTCTCTCTCTCTCTCTCTCTCTTTCGAGACGGAGTTTCGCTCTTGTTATCCAGGCTGGAGCGCAATGGCGCCATCTCGGCTCACTTCAACCTCCGCCTCCCGGGTTCAGGCAATTCTCCTGCCTCAGCCTCCTGAGTAGCTGGGATTACAGGCACGCACCACCATGCCCAGCTAATTTTTTGTATTTTTAGTAGAGTCGGGGTTTCACCATGTTGACCAGGATGGTCTCAATCTCTTGACCTCATGATCCACCTGCCTCGGCCTCCCAAAGTGCTGGGATTACAGGCGTGAGCCACTGCGCCCGGCCTTAAGTTCTTTTCAAGTCATTCCATCCCACTCCTTTCCATTTCTTTCCAGCCTTTTGCATTTCCTACGCTTAGTGACATTGATTTCAGTTTCATTATTTTATATTCCATGGCATTCCATTCCACCTCTTTTTGGGTTTTTAAAATTTTGTTTATTATTTAATGTTATACTTTCTTTCTACTATATTACTTTTCTGTCATTTCCTTTCCATTTCTTTCCCCTCATTACCTTATTTTATTACTCTCCTTCCCACTCCATTTTATTTTATTTATTTCCACTACAATTTTCCTTTTCAGTCAATTTCTTTCCCTTGCATTTCTTTGGAAATCATGCCATTTTATTTGACTCCATTCTCTGCCTTTAATTTTTATTTTATTCCTTTTTGTTCTAGTCAATTTCCCTCCATTCCATTTATGCCTTTGCCATCTCTTTCAATTGTATTCCTAAACAGTCTATTCCTTTTCATTCGTTTCCTTTGTAAGTTTTCATTTCATTCATATTTACTTCCCCACATTTTTCCCATGGGAGATTTGAAGCAGTTTATATACAACACTACAAAATGGTGTTAAGTTAGAAATAGAAATTACAATAAAAATGTTTTTAACAATAGTAAGAAGCCAAGATATGTGTAAAAAGTAAAAATATATGCAAGGCTTACATTACATCTGCCCCTATATCTCTTATGTGTTTCTAAGCTTCCTGGTAACAATAAAACAGAGAGGTACAATTAGTTACATCATTCAAAAAGAAGAAAACTGGGCCAGGCATGAATGCCTGTAATCTCAGCACTTTGGGAGATGGAGATGAAATCACTCAAGGTCAGGAGTTTGAGACCATCCTGGCCAACATGGTGAAACCCCGTCTCTACTAAAAATACAAAATTTAGCTGGGCATGGTGGCAGGCACCTGTAATCCCAGCTGCTCAGGAGACTAAGGCAGGAGAATCACTTGAATGTAGGAGGTAGAGGTTGCAGTGAGCTGAGACTGAGCCACTGCACTCCATCCTGGGCAATGGAGTAAGACCCTGTCTCAAAAAGAAAAAAATGAAAAGAGAAAAGGAAAGGAAAGGAGGAAGGAAGGGAAGAAGGAAGGAAGGAAGGAAAAATAAGAAAGAAAGGGAGGAAGGGGATGGGGAGGGGGAGAGGAGGAGGAGGAGGAGGAGGAGGAGGAGGAGGAGGAGGAGGAGGAGGAGGAGGAGGAGATGACTATTAGTTCATCTAGGCATAAGCAAAGATTCCCAAAACAAGTTCAGAGCAGTCAGGCGATAGCTCCATAGTTCTAAGGACTAGTGATCACAACCTTGTCATCAGGACTAGCCAGATTATATACCTTTTAATTTTTTTGAGACAAGGTATTGCTCTTTCGCCCAGGTTGTGTGCAGTAGTGCCATCATGGCCAATGGCAGCTTCAGATTCCTGGGCTCAAGTGATCATCCCACCTTGGCCTTCCAGAGTGTTGGGATTACAGATATGAGCCACTACACCTGGCTGAATGTCTCATATAGTAATATCTTAGTCAAGAATTTTTAATGTTAAGAAAGTTAAACCTTTGGAATGTAGGTCAAATGGGGGTTAATTGAGAGAACACTGAGAGATATCAGATAACTCAATTTCAGAAATTACTCCTGGGCCTCTTGGGGACTGGAATGCTATCAAGAAGCTGTTTCTCTCTTATTATAAAGTTTCTCATTTTCATTCATCTATGAATTCATTTCATTCTTCTCAATCCAGATTGAATTCCTATGTAAGTCTCCTGGTCATTGCTTCTCTGTAACTTCAGATTATATATAATATTTTCTGCTGCCCTTCAAGCATTTCTAGGTTAAATTCTCCATAGGAGAGTCAAGTTGGTTCAGGCTATGGTATGGAACACATTTAGGTTTGTCAGCTCTCTAATCAGCTTTGAACTGATAAAAACTTAGCCACCTAGTCCGTCTCTTCACCAGTATCTGGGTAGGGGAGCCATGTTTGTTCCCTATTATTAGTAGGGCAAAAGGTCTTCCCAGAAATCACACCCAGTAAGCTCCCTCTTATATCTCATTAGCCAGAATAAGATCAGATGGTGCTCCTTGTTGCAACAGAGGCTGAGAAAGTGACATATTAACATTCCCAGTCTCTTCAGTAGAGACAAGCAAGGGAAGTGGTGTGGGGAAGAGCATTAGGTCAGTTAACTCAGTCTCTGCTACATTATGGAGGGATTAAAAGGAGCAAGCCATGCAAACAGTATGGAGGGATACATTCCAAGTTGAAAGACATCAGGAAGAAAGGCCCTGAAGTGGGTGTAGAGTTGTCAGTTGCTTGTGTGATGAATTACCACGGACTTTGCAGCTTAAAACAACATTAATTTATTATCTCACAGTTTCTGTGGGTCAGAAGTTCAGGCATTGCTTAGACAGGTCTTCTGAAAGGCTATATAATCAAGATGTCACTCAAAGCTCAGGTCTCATCTGAGGCTCAACTGGTGATGGATTTACTTCCAAGCTCACATGGTTATTAGCAGCATTCAGTTCCTTGCAGACTGTCACAATGAGAGCCTCAGTTTCTTAATGACAGCCGGAGGTCATCCTCAGTTCTTTGCCATGTGGCCCTTTCCATAGGCAGTGCACAACATTGCATCTTGCTTCTTCAAAGCCAAGACAGAATTCATAAACTTATGTAACAGCATCACATACATGCAATCATGTCTATCTTGCCACCTTTGCCATATTCGGTTGATTAGATGCAAGTCACAGGTCTTGCCCTCAAGGGGAGAAGATTACATAAGGGAATGAATACCTGGAGGCAGGGATTATGGGGAACATTTTAGAGTCTGTTTACCACAATGGGGAAGTAGACGGGTCATCCCAGGAACAGAGAGGTGCCAGTGTGACTAAAGTGTGATGAGAAGGGAGGATCTTTGGAATTTCCAAAGAAACGAAAGTGTCAGGCTGTTTGGTCTCCAGACTACAGTGGGTAGACTGGGAGGGTCCACCCAGCAAATGGAGCTCACATTTTCTTTTTGTTTAACAGGAGCTTGTGAATCCAGAGCCCAACACTTACACCCAAATCAATCCTTCGGTCTAATGGAAGCAGTGATCTTTTCTCCAGGAGTCCTAGAGAAACCACACTTGGTCATATATTTAATGACATTTATTAAGTGTATATTATAACTCAGTCATTCTCTGTCATCTCTGTAGACCTTGTAGATGTTCTACTGCAATGGGTTGGTCAGGCCCTGGCTCCTGAGGAGAGGTAGGCATGAAATGCTTAGAATCCTGAGAAGTGCAGGGGTGGAGAGAGTCAGAATGAGATTTTCTGAAGGTAAAGAAAGTGAGGAGACAAGGATATCTCCACGGTTTCTTGCCAGGGCAACTGGATGATTGGCAGGTCACTTTCGAAGCAACTTTGGGACAAGGAGAGAAATAAGAATTTGCTTCATGTCAAGAATTTAGACATCTCAAGAATCAGTTGGAGAATCAAGTAGGCAATTGTTCATAAAAGCCTAGATAGCTGATGGCTAGAGATACACATTTGAGAGTTGTCAGTGGGATTTAAAGTTATAGGGCTGGATGAGCTCCTCTGTTAGGGGGATCCCCAAGACCACCTCATGCTCAATGATTTTCTAGAATTCACAGGAGCCAGTTGCTATACTCATGATTATAGTTTATTACAGCAAAAGGATGGAGAATAAAATCAGCAAACGGAAAGGGTTCATGGGTGAAGTCTGAAGGATACCCCTGCACAAGCTTCCAAGTGTTCTCTTTCAGTGGAGAACTGTAAGAAATAAATTGCCCTTTTAAAACAAATTACCCAGATTTAGATATTCTGTTATAGGCAACAGAAAGTTCTGTTTATTTATTTATAATGAAGGGCAATTTATTTCTTACAGTTATGGAGGCTTGGAAGTCAAGGTCAAGGGGTGGCACCTTGTAAGAGCCTTCTTGCTGGTGGGGACTCTCTGTAGAGTCCTGAAGTGGTGCAGGGAATCACATGCCAAGGGGACTGAGTGTGGTAACATGTTAGCTCAGGTTTCTCTTCCTTCTGTTATGAAGCTACCAGTTCCACTACCATGATAACCCATTAATCCATTAGTCCATGAATGGATTAATCCATTCATGAGGGCAAAGCCCTCCTGAGCCAATCACCTCTTAAAAGCCTCCATCTCTCAATATTGCCACATAGAGGATTATGTTTCAACATGAGTTTTAGAGGAGACAAATATTCAAACCACAGCACATGGAAAATCCCCCAGCAATGATGTGTGACATGTATGAAGCACTGCCATCGAGGGAAGGTCACCTAAACCTGATGTCCACAGTTTTTTTGTAGAGGGTCAGCCACTGAAGTTACAGACTCCTAGAAGCAAAGCAGATGTTCCCTCATAAATCACATTATTAGTATAAACCATCTAGACACACTGCTATAGCAAGGCTCAAGCCTCAGGCATACAAAAGTACTCTTACCAGATAGAATGTCATGAGAGCTCAGTTCCCAGAGCTGCCCAAAGGCTAGTCAGGAAAACAGGACTTTCATGGGAACTTACAGGGTTTGAGCAACCTAGGCCTGTCATGTCAACCCCAAGGAGAGTGGATGAAAATAAGGCAAAGGAACAGACTGACAGCTGATTGCTGGGTCCCTCTGATGTTTACAGGAGAGATCAAGCAAAGGAGACAGAAAAGGACGGAAAACACAGAGGAGGCACCAACATAGTAAACTCCTGGAAACAAAGAAAGGGTTTTCAGAATGGGTTGCTGCTATCTTTGGAGATGAATAGCTACGATGATGATGATAATGTTAATTGAGATTTTAAAAATTAATCATTAGATGTGATACAAGAGTCCAGAGTTATAATCCGAAGGGTTGCACTAAGTAGCACCAGAGACACCTACCTATTTGAACCCTGGGAACTTTCCTCTTCCCTGCCAAGGAATGTCCCTCTCCCCTGACATCCTAGAGACAGATCATGCCCTTCTACCCTCTAGTGACTTATTTGTCTTCTAGTATTTAAATAGATTCATAGCCTTCTTGCTCTTCACTGTATCTTGAGCCCTTACCCAATTCCTGGACAATACACAGGACCTTAATATTGAACTTTGGTCTCAGCTCTTCCCCAGACAGTTGATAGATAAATCTTTAGGTTAGATGGGCATCTTTCTAGAACGTTCCTGAGTGGTAATTCTTTTCTTTTTTTTTTTTTAGACACAATCTGGCTCTGTTTGCTGAGGCTGGAGTACAGCAGCATGATCTCAGTTCATGGCGACCTCTGCCTCCGGGGCTCAAGCGATCCTTCCTGCCTCAGCCTCCTGAGTAGCTGGGACTACAGGCTTGTGCCACCATGGCCAGCTAATTTTTATATTTTTTGCAGAGACAGGGTTTTGCCATGTTGCCCAGGCTGGTCTTGAACTCCTCGGCTCAAGTGACCCTCCTGCCTTGGCTTCCCAAAATGCTGGGATTATAGGCAAGAGCCACTGCCTGGAAATGGTAACTCTTCTAAAGTCCCTGCAATATTCAGGTTAAGTCAGGATGTATGGGTTCTTGGAACCCATTACCACCTTGTTCATTTTGAAAGAAAAAAAAAAGACCAAACAGAAGACAGCAAGAGAAAGTCAGTTTTACATTACATAGTACTTATGTTGTTATTTTCTGAATATCTTTTTTTTTTTTTTTTTTGAGATGGAGTCTTACTCTGTTGCCCAGGTTGGAGTGCAGTGGGACAATCTTGGCTCACTGCAGCCTCTGCCTCTGATGGTCCAGTGATTCTCCTACCTCAGAATCCCGAGTAGCTGGGATTGCAGGTGGCACACCACCATGCCTGGCTAATTTTTGTATTTTTTTTAGTAGAGACAGGGTTTCACCATGTTGCCCAGGCTGGTCTCAAACTCTTGACCTCGCCCACCTCAGCCTCCCAAAGTGCTGGGATTACAGGTGTGAGCCACTACACCCAGCCCATTTTATGAATATCTTAAAAAATTAACACAAAAATAAGTGAAAAAAGGAAGATGAGCTAACACTGAAACCATCCCATTGTTATTTTGTCATCTTTGTATTTGCAGATCAATCTGCGAGATTTTATATCTTTACAGCACAGCTATTTGTCCATTTTCTCTCTCTCAGTAAGGTTTTGAGGGTTTCTTCAGATGACTTATATCTATCTTACTAAATTGATTTATAAGGCTTTTTCTTGCTTTTTTGTGAATAAATATGAACTTTTTCTGTCTTGTTTCCAAACTTAGTATTGCTTGCATGTAGAGGAAAGATACTGATGTGTAGACAAGGGGCAACCTAAGGTAAAACTTAAGAGCATGGACAAGAGTTCAACTTCTTGGTCTCAAATCCCAACTCTATCCTAACAATACACTCTGGGGAAAGTTACTTATCTCTGGGATTCAGTTTTATCTTCTGTAAAATGTAAACAACAGTCTCATTTCACAAGAGTTGTGGTGAGGACTACATAAGTAAATATATATATATATATATATATATATATATATATGTATCTTACAAGACTGCTTAGCACAGAGTTTCACATGAAGATTTATTATTAGCATAGAGTGTTACATAAATGTTTATTATTACTTGTTTCACATTTAATTACTTTTAAACTCTCCTTGATGTTAATTGCTTTTAGTTAACTCTCTAAGGTCTGCTAGTAATATCTGCTAATAATTTTGTCTTCTTTGTACCTAATAGTTATAACATATATCTATTTGGTATTGAAGTTTTCTTTTTAAAACCAGTTCTTCAATGAGAATGCATGAACATAGGGAGGGGAACATCACACACCAGGGCCTGCTGGGGGTTGGGGAGCTAGGGGAGGGATAGCATTAGGAGAAATACAATGTAGATGACGGGTTGATGGGTGTAGCAAACCACCATGGCATGTGTATATCTATGTAACAAACCTGCATGTTCTGCACATGTATCCCAGAACTTAAAGTATAATAATAATAATTTTAAAAACCAGTTCTTGTTAGACATATGCTGAAATATAGCATTTCATAGACAAAATTAAATAATATGTAGAATTTGCTTCAAAATCACTGGGAGATGAGGCGAGGGGAAAGCACAACATAGGTGGAAATATAGATGAAACAAGACTGAGTGAAAATATTTAAGTCAGATGACAGAGGTCATGGGGGTTCATTAATTGAGTCCCTGCTTTTGTTTTGAATTTTAAAAATAAAAGGTAAAAAAAAATATAAGCTACCTACTTCGATTTAGGAACCAATGTCACATTTAACCCTCAAACTTTAGAGATATGCCCATTAAAAGAACACAAACAGGAATAGCTCTTTTACTAACATTGTTTTGGAAATGGCAGCCAATATTATCCAACATGAAAGAGAATGTCTAGTCTAAAATACTGGTAAGGAAAAGATGAAATTGTAGATAACTGTCTCAATAGAAAAGCCAAGAGAATCTACTGGAGTATAAGAATTAATAACATTGCACTAGGTTAACCAGATACAAAACAAATACTCTAGGCTGGGCGCGGTGCCTCATACCTGTAATCCCTGCACTTTGGGAGGCCAAGGCGGGCAGATCACAAGGTCAGGAGTTGGAGATCAGCCTGGCCCCGTCTCTACCAAAAATACAAAAATTAGCCAGGCATGGTGGTGCGTGCCTGTAGTCCCAGCTCTTGGGAGGCTGAGGCAGGAGAATCGCTTGAACCGGTGAGGTGGAGGTTGTGGTGAGCCGAGATCACTCACGCCACTGCACTCCAGCCTGGGCAACAGAGTGAGACAAAAACAAAACAAAACAAAACAAAAAAGAAACTATGGGGATAGAGATTACATTTCAAATAGCAATAATTCATTGTTGTTAAAGGTCGGAATTTACGTGAGGAAACTTACAGGAGTGCTTTGACAAGCATTTTTAAAAACTAAAAAATTATGTATTTTCATATAGCAGGACTCTAATTTCCAGCTACCTCCCCGGTGGGTTGAAAATAACATCATAATTACTTAATAGGGTGATTGGGCTGGGTAATGAGATATTAAAGTGTTTAATATAGAAAGGGGAACCTTTATTTAGTCAAAACAGATTGAGCATCTATTATGTGCCAGGTCTCTTTATTTTAGGTGTTGAGGATGCAGCAGTGATCAACATCGATAGAAATGCTTTTCCTTATGGAACTGACATTGTAGTGGGGAAGGCAGGCAGTAGACCATATAAATACTTAAAATACATAGTGTGCTAGATAGCGAAAAGTTCTCTAGAGAAAAAATAAAAGATGAAGTGGGAGGCACGGAGCCTATGGGGAGGGAAGGGGTTGCTGGCAAGTTCACAACAGGTGGTTCATTCACAATGGGCAATGCCTCACAAGAAGGTGATATTCCCCTAATGACCAGACGGTGAGAGCCAAATGAATCCCTCAGGAGAGGCTGCCAGGGAGTGCAAATAAAATGATTCTTTATATTCCACTATTAAGTGTAAAAACATAGATTCCTGAAGGGTTCGGTAGATGCTCCCTCAACTGTAAAATAGGGATGTCGCAAATGTCTAACAGGTTTCCCCAAGACTAGAGGAGACACTGGGTCGCGCGCAGCGTCTGACAGGGGGCACCCAAGAAGGGTCCCCGCCATTTCTATTGGATTCCGACGTCACGTCAGAGCGACTCCCCACCCGTCGCTGCCCTGGCCTCGGCCACCCGGTCCTGTTGCTGGTCTTAGGGCTTCCTCCAAGACCTGCACAAGCACAGTCGCGATGTCCCACCAGCCCTCGGACGCTGACGCTCGCTTACCTTCTGCCTGGGTCCTCCGCCCCACTTCCCCGGAAGAGCCGGAATCTCTCCCATTCACCGCCCGCGCCGCTGAGGCTTCAGGGAATTGTAGTTCCGGCCGCCGAACCCAAATGCACTTCCGGGTTCTGCCACAGCACAACCATTGTTCCGCGCGCCGACGCTCGCAGTTGCTGAGCAGTTGGGCCCTTCGGCATTAACCCCCAGCGGCCTTGCGGTTGCTGACTAGGGGTGGGGACCGAACAAGCTTAACCCGAGTCGACCGTATTGCAGGATCGGGGCCAGGGTTTGCTTAAGCCGAGTTCGTCCTGCCGCAGAGCCTGCCAGGGACTGAGGCGGTGACAGGCCCAGCATGGGCTGCGGGCCAGCGGACGCTCGGTAGCGGCACGGGACAGCTCCTAGTGTCCGATGCGCGCATGCGCAGGGTCTCGGCGCGAAGCTGGAAGCGGTGGTGAGTTTAGCGGAGAGACCTGGTCTCTGTGCGGTGGCGCTTTAGCCTGAGGTCACCGAGGTTGATGGAGTTACTGAGACAGCTGTGTGCTGCGCGGGTGCTTGGTCAGGTGGTGCTCTTGTCTGGGGCCCAAGGATACCCAGGTTGGTGAAAAATAGGGCATATGCATTGATGTAAGGGGGCATCCTGAGAACTCCCCTCCTCCAATGCCGGGCTTATTTAGTGGAGGTCCTTGAGGATGTCCTGGTTGATGGAGTACTCCATTGCAGATTGTGGTTTCTGGAGAAGAGGGGCTGTGCCACTGTCCCTTTACGCTTGAGCAAGCATTTGAGTAGGAAGCAAAAGGTGGTAGATAAGATTCTGAGCAGGTGACTCTGGGCCCCTGGAGCAAAAGATTCTGATCAGGTGGCTCTGGGCTCCTGGAGCAGACAACGCGCTTCTCGAAGGTCTAGGGGCGCTGTGGTTGGTGGAGACCAGGTTGGAGTTGCAGATTCTTGTCCCAGAAGAGGCAGTGTTGCTACTGCTAGTGAACCCTTGGTGGGAGTTACCCATGGGCAGCAAACTCCCAGGCTGAAGGAGAGTATCAGCGCCTAGAAACAGGTTCTGGGCAGAAGGCACCCTGCACGTCCTGGGGGTGTCTGAATGGAAAACAGAAACTTGAACTGATAGTAGGGACCTTTGTAGGATAGTGCAGAGCTCTAGGACATTCAAGATGGCAGACTCTGGGTTGAAGACACAGAGTCTCAGTCCAGGAACGACAGAGCTGCAACAGCTGCCATCAAATTGGTAGCTGGGAGGACGCTGTATACTGCCAGCATCCTTATGAAGCAGATGTTCCTGAGACCTTTACTTGGGCTACCCTACTTGCAGGCACAAGAATGTGCAGATTAGTAGAGGGACAGAGTCTGTGCTGCAGATTTGGTCCTGGAAAGAGCTGACTGCACGACACCCACGCCCTCCTGTTTGGGCAAGAGAAGGCCAAAAGGCCCAGTTCCCTTGGAGCTGCTGTATCATGGGCTTGAGAACCCTCACGCCGGCGAATGCCCAAGTCCTGAGGCTGATCGTGGAGCCGTATGCTCAAGCTACAGTATAGTTGTTCTGGCTGCAGGCAAATAGTGGGGCAGGTGACCCCAGAACCCACACAGAGGCTATGGGTGCCTGAGATGTCCCAGGAAGGGTGAGGGATGTAGATTCTTGTCTCAGGAGCAGAATGTGCCCCAGACTGGCAGAGGATCCAGGTCCTGGATTCAGATTGTGAGCGTGAACCTGCTCTGGCTGTGTCAGTGGGAGGAGGAAGCCTAGGTGGGTAGCCCATGTGCAGTGGCTGTGGAATAGAGGCTTGGGTGCCCCAGTTTGAATCTGGTCTTAGGAGGCATGGGGCTACTCCAGCTGCACTCTGCATGTATGCTGGCATTTGGGGAGGCATGGGCAGTATTAGGACCCTGGTTCTGCCTAAGGATGTTCAGGTGTGTGGAGGAAGCAGCTGCAGAGGGGTGGGACTGTGTCAGGCACTCCTTGTGCACACACACAGGTGTTTGGTTGGGAAACAGGAGGCTGGAGATGAGTTTTAGGCAGAGGGTGCTGGGGTCTTTGTGTGGTTGGAACCCTGATCACAGCCTGGTGGTGCCCAGGTTGACAGGATCTTCCTGAGCCACAGGTGCCCAGGAAGGTGTTTGGCCGGGAATCTGGGCAGGGACTCCAGCAGGGCTGTGGAGGAAAGTGAGGAAACAGTTTGGGTGCAGGTTCAGGAAACAGCTGCATTGTGAGCCTACACTGTGCTACATGAGTGAGAATATGGTGGAAGCAGGGGAGAGAGTAAGAAGGAGAGATAGGGTGCAAGGAGTGGGGTGCCTAAGGTGGGATTTGCTAGGGGCTGCTCTAGTCTCAGACCCCAGAACACCTAGTTGGTACAGAGGCACCTGAGCTTCTGAGACACACATTTAGAGCCTGGGTAGGGCTGCTTTTGTCTGGCTTATGTTGGTGTCTGCTGGAGGCCCCTAGTCCTATGCAGGCCCTGTTGTAGTTTCAGGCCTGAGGATGCCCAAGCTGTAGAGGGACTGGTTTAGAGCTACAAATTCAGGGCCTGGGAGGGTGTTAGGGTAGAAATCTGGCTGGTGCTGTTGGAGTAGGAGCCAGTGGACTCCAGAATGGTGGAGGGAACAGGATGTGGGTGCAGCTGAGCTCTGTGCATATGCTTGGCTATTTGAGCAGGAAGTGGGTGGCCCTCTGCTGGGTTGCTGGAGGGACAGGCCTGGCTGATGGAAGGGTAGGATCAGTCTTAGTTGCTGAATCAGTTCCTGGGAGCAGTGGAGCTGTGTCACCAGCTTCATGCAGTTAGGCAGTGAGTATGATTCTGGCCCTAGGAAGAAGTGCTGGTTTGGAGCTGTAGATTGAGGCTGGTAGGGGTAGGATGGGGTGAACACCAAGGGGTCTTTGATATGTCTGATATTTGTGGGGAATCGCAGGGCCCAGTGGAATAAGAGAGTGATGGACTGGTGCTGCAGACTTTGTTGGTGGGCAGGAGGCCATGTTTGGCATAAGCTGGGCTTACAGGTGGGGATGGTCCTGGGGCCCAAGATAGTGGAGGAACCAGAAGCTTGGTCTGGGAGAGGGACTGAGGGACTCTCAGTACATGCACAAATATTTGGGCAGGAAGTTGGCAGGAACCTCTAGAAGTGCATTTGCTATGGGAATGCATCCTGCATCCTGTGAGCAGGGGCTAACGGGGTTGGGGGCCACAGCAGATCTGACAGACCTGCATCTTCATGCTGTACCTGGGACTTCTCTCAGTGCAGCTCAGGACCTCAGCACCCTGCTGTGCCTGGAGGAGAGCATGGAAGAGCAGGATGAGAAGCCCCCAGAGCCCCCGAAGGCCTGTGCACAGGTGAGTGGAGCCAATTTTCCCAGAGGGACCCAGACCTTGCTCCCACATAAGCCCTGAAGCCTGACCCTCTGGGCTTGGGAGGCTATGGCCCTCTCGACTCTCTTTGCAGCCTTTAAGGGGGTTGGGGCCCTCATGGCCATCAGGCTTTAACACTTAACACACTTGGAATTTATAAATCTTCCGGGTAGTTGCCTCACCTTTTTGGCCCACATAACTCTTTCTGGGAGGAATTTGGCATCCTAAATCAAAAGCCCTTAGAATGCTGATTCCCCTTTGGCCAGCAATTCACAGCTTTGTTTGAGAAGGAACAATTGAAAATATACTAAATGTACAATGCAAGAGGATAGGTGAGTGAATTATGGTAAGACCATGAAATGGAATACACTGTAGCCATGGAAACTGATATGATAATGCAAATTTAATGACAGAAAGAGTTACTTATTACCTATGTTAAGTAAATAACACTTAGAAATCATCACCTTTTAAAAAGTGATATAGTTCTTGTGTATATAGAAAATACATTAGAAGACTATAAATATACCAAACATCATCTGGAGTTACTTTACAAGTGACTTTGTTTTATCATTCATTTATCTGTATTTTCTTTTTTTGGAGACAGGGTCTTGCTCTGTCGTCCAGGTTGGAGTGCAGTGACACAATCCTAGCTCACCGTAGCCTCAAACTCTTGGGCTCAAGCCATCTTCCTGCCTCAGCCTCCTGAGTAGCTGGGACTACAGGTGGGCACCACTAAGCCTGGCTAATATTTTTGTGTGTGTATTTTTAAAATTTTTTCTAGAGACGACATCTCACTATGTTTGCCAGGCCTGTCTTAAACTTCTGGTCTCAAGCCATTCTCCCACCTCAGCCTCCCAAAGAGCTAGGATTACAGATATGAGCTACCACACCTGGCCTGTATTTTCACATTTTTGTACAGTGCGTTTTAAGGTAAAAATATTAACAATTGGCCAAGCACAGTGATTCATGCCTATAATCCCAGCCCTTTGGGAGGTCAAGTTGGGAGGATTGCTTGAGGCCAGGAGTATAGGACCAGCCTGGGCAACATAATGAGACCCTGTCTCTACAAAAACCTTTAGAAATTAGCCAGCATAGTGGTGCCCATCTCTAGTCCCAGTTACTTGAGGGGGTGAGGTGGGAGGATTGCCTGAGCCCAGGAGGTCTAGGATGTAGTCAGCTATGATTGTGCAACTGCACTCAAGCCTGGACAACAGAGTAGGATTCTGTCTCTAAGAAAAGAAAGTTAACAATGTAGACCATTTCCTACCGCAAATATTCTTTGAAAATGCTGAATTTCTTAAAACTGTTAAATTAGGGCTTCTCCTTTCTCTTCCTGAATAATTCAGCCCTGAAGCCATGAGGTGGGACAGTGTGAGGTAGGCACCTACAGTTGTCAGGGCTGCCTGCTGTGAAGAGAGTGCCCATGTGCAGGGTGTCAGTGACCAAGTAAGGTGAGGAGAGCATCTGCACAGGATGACATCCCCGCATAGTCAGAGCCCAAGTGGAATAGTGGAATGAAGAAGTCGCTTGTGTACCGGGGGGAGCCCAAGTGGGTGAGGCCCGTCTCCGTATCCAGCTATCTGGTGTGGGGTGATGGGGTCAGAGCAGGTAAACAGGGCATCCAGAGAGGGGGTGCCCCACTGGGGACAGTTGGAGCCCAAGTGCAGCAAGCAGGTGTCCATGGTAGATGGGTGTT